GAAGAAGAGCTGGCTCCCGGCAAACAGGAGTCCGCAGCACAGGACAAAGCCTTCTCCAGCCTCCCAGGACCCCAGCTTTGGGGGAGGAAGGGCCACACTGTGCCTGGCTTCCATTCCTCCACATTTCCATTTGTAACCCCCCGAGATATTTCTCTTCTCCTGCTCTCTGTTTCTATAGCTCTGTCAGACTCTTCATTACAGAAGAAATAAAGCTTTTGTTTCCCCTTTTTTTTTTTTTTTTTTTTAAAAAAAACATGTGCTGTGTTATAAGCTGTTGGTGCCGTGGTCTCTGCTGCAGGCAGTGCCCCATGTGGTGCTGCTGGAGCTGACGGCCGCTCGTGCAGTGACACAGTCAGTAGCCAGCACCTTGTCCCGCCACCTGGCCCACTGAGCCCTGCCAGCCGCTCGGTCCCCAGCGCAGCCCCCGTGTTCCCGGGGCACTGGGGGAACTGTTATCCAGGTGGGATGTGCTGGTGTGGTGCGGAGGAGCTGTGACCCATGCCGGGGCTTGCATTGCGAAAAGACCCCATCCTCTTCCAGGAGGAAGGGAGCGGCTTGTGGCGCGGAGGCTTCGGTGGCTGTGAAGTGGAGCTGTCGGGAAACCTGCAGGCAGAACTGGCGCCATCCGCCTCCCCAGCTGTGCCGTAGCAGCTGGCTGCGTGGAGGCACTTACACTGAAGCATTGATTCGGGTGTTTCCGCTTCAAGGGACCTCCAGTGGAATCAGTTGAGCCGTTCCCAATTATTTCTCTGAATGGCCGAGGCGTCTGTTTTCTGCTCACAGCGGCTCTAGTGCACCCGACTCCCGGTGCTTGTTTCTGCTGCTGTCCCGTCCCCAGGTGCTGCGTCGCGCTGCCCATCGGAGCAGTGAAACCCCCTAACCTGCCTGTGCTTTCCTTCCCGCAGTGTGCAAGTACGTGGCGGTGGAGCTGAAATCCGCTTTTGAGGAGACGGGCAAGACCAAGGAGGTGATTGACACCAAGTATGGCTTCCTGGATGGGAAGGGCTCTGCCGTCAAGTACACGCAGTCGTAAGTGAGAGTGGGACGGGTGGTCTCCTGCTGCTGTCGCTGCCTGCGGTCTGCAGGGGCTTCGGGAGCCTGCGGGTAGGCTGCGCTGCGCTGCGTTGCGCACGGCTCCTCCGAGGAAACTAAACTGTGCCAGGGCTGGTGGGGTGGGCAGGGCAGGGCAGGGCAGCCGGGGGGTGCTCCTTCTGCTTGGGGGGGAGCCTCGGAGCCGCAGAGCACTCCCCCATCACACCGGCCAGGGTGAGGCTCACCCTGTGCCCTGG